TATATAACACCAATGCATCCAAAGAAGCAACAGGGAGATCATCTCAACCATCCAGATGTGTTGTTCTGAAAAAAGTTGTAGCATCTGTTGAATTCTTTAAATGCTCTTCTCTTTCAGGAATGTACAGAGAAAAGTGAAAGAGAGGCACTACACTGGAGTAATTCTGGCTGACAAGTAGTGGTTGTTAATGTGGAAGTCCAAAATATTGGGAAGAAATGATCGATTAGCCTTAGAGTCAGTCTATGATGGCTAGACACATCAGTCATGAGCCTAAGCTTATAGTGATTCAGATTTCAAAAAGTAGAAGACAATGGATCAAAAAAAAGAAAAAAGTAAACATGAAAAAAGATCAAAAGAAAAGGTAAATAAAATCAAGAGAAATGACAAATTCATAAAAATTAAATTCTGACCACAATAGAATAATGTGTATGTGGTGGAAACAGAAGAAATCAAAGACCTTTTCTGGCTGTTTTAGGCAAGTTAATTAAACTTTAGAAAACAGTGCAGCTAAAAAAAAAGTCTATCTTAAAAAGCTATGTTAAGGTAAAAGAAAGACGATCATGTGGATTAGGGATGCTTGCAAAAGACGGTGGGACATGATAAAGAGGAAATAAAAACACATGTAGCCTGATTTTGAAACTGGAAGAAGAGCCATGGAATTTCAGGTTCGGAGATGAGATAGCGCCTTTAAAGGAATTATTCTAGACTCAAGTAAAATATATTTTATATACTTATTTTTGTCATCTTAGTGAACTCTTGCTTGTTGAGAAAGTGTTCAGCATTCAACAAAATCAGTGCCCCTCAAAGACATATGAGTTATAAGCCTTAGCAATTCATGTAAAAGTAACCTGAAGATTGTATGTCTTGATATAGGTTGACATATAACTTGGCCACCAATAAAACTCATTTAACTTCAACCTATAACACCAGACGTATTTGAACCAGATAATATAGCCCCAACCTCCATAGTTCTGGTCAGGTTAGTGGGAGTATTGCATCTAACTTGGGGCCACATTTTAGGAGACAATACATACAAGAGAACACGCTGACTATATTCCTATGAAAACTTGCCACATGAAAGCCAGTTAGAGAAATAAAGGACAAGGACTGGACAAAGGAGACCATGACTTTCTACTCTGCTTTGCTCCAGAGAACTCAGTCTACACTCTCTTTCTTCCCTTCATGCCTCTTAACACTACAGTCTGGCTTCTACTGCCCACAAATGCTGCTCTGCCAGGTCATGGCAATCTCCAAGGGACACCTCTCAATCCTGACCTCTCTTGACCACTTGGGAGTGTTTGACCATGTTGACCAGTGATCCTTCCTCACTATTCTCTCTTCTCTTGGATTCCATGACACAGTAAGTTATTAATGTTCTTCCTTCTTCCTCAGCACATATATGCTCTCTATTGACCTAACACCTGTCTTGGGCTTCCTATACATTTTTGGGCTTCCTGTACATTTCCGCCACTTCTGTTCATATCCTGTTTGTAGCTACCTGAGGATATAAACAGGAGGCTTAGGATCAAAATAAAAATGAAGAAGTGAAATCCAGTTGTAAAATGCAGATAGAATCCCATAATGGCCTGTGTAATGTAGTCTTACTCCTTTAAGGAAATGACCCTTCCTCTCACTGAATATTACATTTCTAAATCTGATGCATTTTTATTTTTCCCAGATGAAAAAAAAATAAAGGATGGATTTGCTTCCCAATGAAATCTTTACCAATCCACATCTCTCAGAAAGGATTGGCACAATGTCTGAACAGTACCTAATCAAGTCTTTTTATAGTTTTAGTTTTATTAATTCAAAATAACTAAATTCTGGTTCCAATCATGGTCACTTAATTGGACTTGTCTAAGGCACTTGAGAAAAACCTTTAACTAGAAGTTATTAAAATAATGGAAGCTAGATTTTTGTGCTGTGACTTTTCTCTCCTTAAATGGTTATTTGTGCGTTTAAGTTTTCCATCATAGACCAGCCACTGTAGCTATTGCTCTGGTCTTACCCCTTGGCTTACAGAGATGGAAAAAATCTCCTCCCTCTGGCAACAGTGTCATTCTTTGGAAGGCTTTTCTGAATTTCTGGTTCTCATTCTATATTTTAGCTGTTTTCACCATCAATATTGCACAAGAAAAATGGCATGCCTGTAGCATGACAGACACATCACAAGGGGTCTCTAATTAGCTGTTCTGAAGTGTTGGAACAAGTTTTTTTTTTTCTGTTTGAGTTTTCAAACACCTCAAAAATCCTACTTGATGAGCCTTTTTGTTACCATCCCATCCTCAAGTGAGTCCAAAGCAGTGGAAAACAGCTCTTGGAAATGTTTCATCTCATTTCTTCCCCACTCTACCAAAAGTAGAGTCCATTTTAAAGTCTAATTCGAAATCTTCTCTCTCTAGCTTTCTTCCATATTTTCAATTGTGGTGTCTAGTATATTGTTATTCATGCAACTCTCTGCAAAGTCATGCTTTTTATTTTAGCCTGTGCTCAAAGTTGTAGGATTGCACTGAATGTCTAGGAACTTGCAAAAAGGCCATTTTGGAATTTAATTTTTTCTTTATTAATAGCTATCATTGGACTGATAGTAAAATATGGTTGTGCTGCTCAATTTCACCTCTCAACTTCTCAAACTCCCATATGTCAATGTAGAATAAGTGTCTGGGTCACAAAAGTACAAGACAACTTGCACCTTTAAGAAGCCCACAGTCCAGTAGGGGCCAAGAAGAGTCACATCTAGTAAAAATAGAATTGACCTGCTGTGTTCGTGGTATGAGCAAAGGGCTTTGAAAGCAATCTCTCTTTTTTCCCCCGAAATATGAACAAGATCTCAACATGAAAGGGAAGGATAACTGAACTATATAAACGGAGTGAGGCAAGCATACCATTATTGAACTCCTAAAGACTGACTGCTGATCAAAGAAGGGGACTTTAAAATCATGCGAGTTCATGCTTAGAAGTTTGCTTTGCAGATACCTTAAAAGCAACTGAGGCCAATAGGAGAAGGGGACCAGGAACTACAGAAAAGGTTAGTTCAAGAAGAATGAACCTCGAAGGTAATACACATGCACAGGAAAGTAATGTGAGTCAACTCCCTGAATAGCTATCCTTATCTCAACTAGCAAAAACCCTTGTTCCTTCCTATTATTGCTTCTACTCTCTCTTCAACAAAATTAGAGATAAGGGCAAAATAGTTTCTGCTGGGTATCAAGGGGGTGGGGGGAGAGGGAGAGGGTGGAGTGGGTGGTAAGAGGGGTGGGGCAGGAGGAGAAATGGCCCAAGCATATGAATAATAAAAAATTAAAATTAAAAAAAAAGTTTGCTTTGTGTTATCATTTTTCTTACAATTACTAGTAAATATTTCTACTATTTCTATAATTTTTTTTCTAAATATAAAGCAAGAGGGGTTTTTTTTTGTTTTTTCTTTGATTTTGGTTTCTATGGGGAGACGTTGTTTGTTTGGTTTTTGTTTTTGAGATAGGGTCTCATTATGTAGCCCAGGCTGGGCTTGAACTCACTTGAAACACAGCTTGGGCTGGCACGAAATTCTCTGTCCTGGCTTAGCCACCAGAGTGCTGGAGTCACAACATGTACTACCATGCTGGCCAGGAGGTGTTTTCTCTTTTAAAACTCAAAAAATTATTCCTGAAAAGCAAGGGAATCTCCTTGTATTCAGGATCTCACAGTCCCTCAAAGCAGAAATGTTCTCTCTTCTTTGTTCTGATAAGCAAAAGTGTTATTTGGAAATGTCATGGAAACCTCAAACAACCTCAACTATGATAATGTTTTGAAAAAACAATACAGTGAGAAGATGGTAAGAACAATTTATAAAGATTTTGCCCTGCTTGGACTAAGACATCAGAGTTATAAGTGCTAGGAGCTAGACACTGGAAGTCTTTGCAAGTAAGAGTTCTAAAAATCACTGGTCACCTGAAAAAGAACCATAGTTCTAGGTCATTGTGAACCATAGTGTACTAGGTCATTGTGATGTGGACAAGTGCAAAAGATGGGGGAAAATGCCTTTATATCATCACAGTGTCTATTTGTCATTTCAGAAAATATTTCTAGTGAAAACACTGTAAGTGGATTCAAAACATCTCATACATGAACAATATAGATGGAAATAAAGCTATGTGGTAGATGACTTAAAAAAGTGATGTTATTAATAATGAAAAATAGATATAAAATGTATGGAAATAGTTTGAATAAAATTATTTTATGAAGTGTGAAAATATAAACCAATATCTAAATTAAAATGTTTATATAGTATTTAATTTTATACATAAGTGGATAATTATAATATTAAAGTAAGTATAAAAGGCAGCTGCCTAATTTTTCTACCTTTAGCCCTAAAAGTAGCATATGTAAGTTAACAAAAAACTTTTTAAAAATACAATTTCTTTTCATAAAATAGCAGATTACCTCATATTTTAGGTTGCCTAGTACTTAGGCATAGAATTTCATAGAAAGAGAATTGAATAAATATTACATTTTCACAGCAAACAAAAGCTTCCATTTTGCAAAAAGGAAAATGAACCAAAATGAACTTAAATTTTAAAATAAAAATAAGAATCAAAATCATGACATTTAGTATTAAGGCAAATGTGTATTAAATAAATCCAAGGTACTCAAACATTTTCTGATCTCTTACTTACAAAGAACAAACAAAAGCAACCATCAAATATAGAGATTATTTTTCTACTTCTGTGTAAAAAATGTAAGATCAATCATTTCATAAAGTTGCATTGAAATCTGAAAAGATAGTTCTTTGTATATGTTACTGAGTGGATTATAAGTATCCTTAATATTAAGATGATGCAACGTAAGGGACATGAAATATACCTGCTCAAATATTTCAACTAACATGAATGGTTGATGTGTCATAGATGTATAGAACAGAGTTAAAGATTTGATTCTAAAAAGCATGAATGACCTCCAGCTTGGTTTGTCTAACTTGAGCTGAAAACAACAGAGTGATTTATTAAGCTTCAGATACATACCTCTAAATAATCTGTGGAGCAGTCTCTGTGATGTTCCAAATCAATGCTAAAAAATGTGTAGTTCACAGTGTTGCCTCTTGTTGCTTGGATGGTCCAGTTGCACCGCTGGTTTATAGAATAGGGATTTGGATAATTTATACTCTCTAAAATGCCATAGGTTGGTTAACTATTACCACGTCCTCACATGCTGGAAAAAAAATCATGATTGTTAAGAATCACTATGATATGTGTCATAATTACTCCAAGATGTATTGTAAGATGCTCTTCTAAGAAGCATATAGATTAAAAATCCCATATATATACTTGCACATATGCATTTATATAATGTATATTTGGTGCATCATTTTTATAGCAAACACAGCTCCATTTAGAATAAATTTGAAGTAAACACTCTTTGTGTTAGTTGCACACGGCCACGCACATACTTGGCAAGTGATGTACAACTGAGCTATATTCCCAGTCCCAAATGTGAACATGAAGTAAAGTCAGGCTTTAAAGTCTCATGAAAATTGAACAGCCATATAAAAATGAGCATCGAATTCCTGTGAACTGGTGAACAACAGGGTAACGTGGCTCTACTCAGAGAGATTTGTATCAAGCATTCTTTGCTTCTGTTTTTTGGCGTTCACATTTGGAAGAGCAAAAGTTCCGATCTTTAAGTTGAACAGTGTGAAGATACAAAGTCCTGTATGAATGCTAGAAATGAGTTAACAGCATCATTTTGTCGAACATGAAAATAATCCGCATGCAATTCCCAACAGAGCTTCTGTTATTCCTCCAGCTAGTCATCAGGAAGCACCAAGAGAACAGAGGGAGCATAAAAGACTTGAAGAAATGAAAATCTTAAATTTTGGGGAAAAGAAGTTTCCAATGCAGTAGTGGCTTTTTTTTGAGCAGAATCTTCAACAAGTCTACACTGGTAACCTCTAGGTTTGGCTAATCCTGGGAATAAATGCCAAATACAGCTAGTCCTAATGACTTGAACAAGGCTTTTGCATCTTTCCTCAGGGCCTTTTTCATACTGTCTTTATGATACACAATTTAAAAAATGGGAAAATAAACATCATAGTGAAAGAGTTGTCTTTGAAAAATGTGTTTTGTAGACACATTTCTGCTAAAATACTGCTTTCTGAAAGGTGGCTGTAACACCATTTTCAAACTTTGGTTTCTTTTACATTGTGACTTCAAAATCTTCTTCTTTAGAGCAGGGATAATACCCAACCATTTCTCTTTGAAAAGCTTTATGTCACAGTTTTGTCTGCAAAGGATTTCTAAAAAATAATTTTTGTTGCACTAGACACCCATGAGAAATTATACCTCTTAGGCAGACAGACATCACAGGACTCAATGACCAGAGCAAAACAGAACAGAGGAAAATATATTCCAATAAACCATATGGGCTGGTTTCAGTTCTCACAAGTTACATTATTTGCAATCTTCTAATTTCAAGTGGCAAATTTTCTAGAAAATTTGACTAGTTAGCTCTGATTTTACCTTTAAGAGCTTATAGTCTATGTGTAATAATTACTCCTTCAGTATTCTGAAAGTATGAGAAAAATAAAATATTACAGGAATAAACACGGGCACCTTCAATAATCAACCAAGGAACAAATCAGCAAAGCAATAATAAAATTAAGGAAATGATTTTAAATTTGAACAAATAGACATGTTCCTTACAGAACTTTAAAAAGCTTTTTGTAAATAGACTAATGATGGATTTCTGAAGAACAAAGCTACATATTAAAACTCAGTTTTCAAAACTATCTAAATTCAGCCTAACTCTTACATGTTAGTGTGAATCTTCAATTTCACACACAAAGGTAAACATTAGCACTCTTATAACTAATCCAAAAGATATTATACATTCAAAAAATGATTTTTTTACTTTCAGTTCTTTTTTTGGATAACTGTGTCAAAATCATAGACGAATTTAAATGTAATGGGGCATGGAGTTATACTGTCAAAAACACAAAGTTTTTATTAAATAAAATCAAAGGAACTGTTTTGTGGATGTTCACTGTGAAACTAACCTCAAAAAATATATAATTCCAGAGCTAGAAGAGAGATTTAGAAATCATCTCATTTAATCTCCTCATTGTGGAAGCCCAGAGAAGAAAAGGGACCTGAGGGTTAGTGACCAGGCCTGATACTTCAGGCCTGTTGTTACTGTGTTCAATGCACTGTGCTGCCTCATGGGGAAAAAAGATCTTAAAATGGTTTCTCTCTACAAGGACCGGAGTTTTCCACACTTTAGAAAGTGCCACTACACACACATTTCACAAGGACTACAGTTTCCCTTACACCAGCCTCTAGATGTGTGTCACACCAATCTTTAGATGAATTACAATTACGTAGTCATTTTAAATACTCTTCTAAATTTCTATAATTTGACAGAAGCTTTGGTAATATGAGATTAAATTTAATACATGAGCATTTCTCTCTCAAATGAAGTTAAATTTTTTTGCATAAGAAACTACGATTCATTTCAGTGGTTCAAACCAAAGGGTTAAGTTTATCTCAATTTGTTTTATTGAGAGTCTGAAGGCCCAACGCTAGGCGGGCTACTCAAGTACATACTTACTCTGAAAGTAATTGATTCTGAAACCACCTGCTTCCTGACTTGCATCAGTCCTCAGTTTTAGTAATACATTGTCTCCACTGGAGCGGATGGGAGCGGGCTTCTTATTCCCACAGAGCTGAGCTAGCAAACGAGAACTGGTACTCGGGCCATCATACACCTTTGAGGGAACATTTGAAATATCAGGTGGTTGTGACTATAAATGTTACCTAAAGACTCTGTGGTACTAAAAGCGGGAAGGAAATACATACATGCTATAACAAAAGAATAGAACCCTGAAATAAAATATCTTTAAAAATTACATTGAAGTGTTTACTAACTCAGGCAATGAACCCAGGTGGAAGTCTAAACACTGAAAATGAAAGTCTACTACAAATTTTGAGGCCATACCTGATAGTAATTCTCCTCCTTGCTTTTTAATTCCATAGTTTATAACCTGTGAAATTTTAGTATGTTTTTATTTCATGAGTTTAGTGGACCATGGCAAGTTGCCAGTACTCTTAAAAAGTCCTACTTGCATGACTCTTATCTTCTCTCATTGACCAAAAAGTCCTCTAAATTGTTATTTTTCAATGCATATGTAGAAATTATGTATGACTGTGATAAATTCTGTTATGCCTCTTAGACTATTTTAATCGTATCTTAGCAGTTCATATTCAAATTGTTTTAAAGACTTGGTTTACCAAGCCATACAGTACACACTGTGCTTAGACAATTGTCGTTTTTACCACATTCCTTTTAAGTTCTTATTTTGTTTAAAATTTTTTATGTGGATGTTCTCTTTAAATATTCCCCTTTCCTGGATCTCAGAAATAAAAGTAAACACACGTTGCGTGCTGGGTGAGATGAGAGCAGTGAGTAATAAACTGAAACATTATACATACAGCCAGATAATCCCAAGAGCAGTTTGAATGATACTCCAAGTGGAAGTTTTCAAATTCCAGTTTAAACGGGCTGCCGTGGCTGGCTTTTAACCACCAGTAGCATTCCGAGCTGTGGTAGTAGGGCATCGGGTAGTTGGGAGACGTAAATACGCCTGTGGAAGTGGTAAGATTGCCCCCACAACCTACAGGAAAAAGAAAGGAATGATGCACGCCCTTTTCTTTCTGGTAAAATTGAAACTTTTAGTCTATATCAAATGAGTCCTGCCAAGTTGCAAGGTAAAACTATAACATGAAAGAGTAGCTAGTCTATCATCCCATTTCACATCAGTGCTTTCATGTTTCCTAATGGAGATGATCTGATGAAATAGGTCAGGGAACTAGAACTTTTCCCTGTTGTTCTTCAAAATATATGGCTACTCTGAATTCAGAAACATTTGCAATGTTGAAGTTTATTACAAAGAGTAATGTCAAAACATAGCTAGAAATAAACGCAGGGTAGAGCATGACAGTGCAACAACTAAGAAGCCAGTCAGAATGGATTTTCCAGTAGAAAAAACAGGTCTGGGCTATCTACCTGTTGCCGATCCATCCCAGTAAGCTTCAAATCCAGATGACGAGTCTATTATGTCACTCTTGAATTTCAACCACAGTTTGTTACCGTGAGAGATGATTCTTGGAGGTGGAGTTGAGCCACAGTATTTTCCCAGGAGGGGTGAAGTTTCATACCCTCCATCTCTGCGACACAATACCAAAATGAAAATGTATTAGGCCATTGATAGATACTACTCAATAAACAGTTAATATCATTTGAACAACAGTATTATAAGTGATCGGTTTATCAGATCAGTCAGTGTAGTGTCTCTCAAAATTATTTCCAAAAAATACAATTGCAAGTTTTCAATTTTTTGCTTTGTTAAGTGATATTTGAATGATGAAAAAGAATAATTATCACTTATGGCTGGCTTGACATCTTATATTTGCAAACTAAATGTATTTAATTTTCACCTTCTTGAAGCCTCTGGCAAATAGTTCAAGGAATACAGAATGTAGAAGCCTTAATTATTAGTACTATAAACAAATATGGCTTGATTTTACAGAGAAATCTTGAATGTGCCTTCTAATTTAGAAATTTTCAAAACTGAATGTGTCATATTTTTCTGGAAATTATTCTTTCCCTAAGATCTTTTGGAATCTTAAATCTAGTTTATAATCTGTAGGTTTTTATTCAACATAGTACTGGAATTCCTAGCCAGAGCAATTAGGCAAGAAGAAGGAATAAAAGGAATACAAATAGGTAAAGAAACTGTCAAAATACCCTATTTGCAGACGACATGATCCTATACCTTAAAGACCCAAAAAACTCTACTCAGAAGCTTCTAGACATCATCAATAGCTATAGCAAAGTAGCAGGATATAAAATCAACATAGAAAAATCATTAGCATTTCTATACACTAACAATGAGCAAACGGAAAAAGAATGTATGAAAACAATTCCATTTACAATAGCCTCAAAAAAAATCAAATACCTAGGTGTAAACCTAACAAAAGATGTGAAAGACCTCTACAAGGAAAACTATACACTTCTGAAGAAAGAGATTGAGGAAGACTATAGAAAGTGGAGAGATCTCCCATGCTCATGGATTGGTAGAATCAACATAGTAAAAATGTCGATACTCCCAAAGTAATCTACATGTTTAATGCAATTCCCATCAAAATTCCAATGACATTCATTAAAGAGATTGAAAAATCTACTGTTGAAATTTATATGGAAACACAAGAGGCCACGAATAGCCAAGGCAATACTCAGTCAAAAGAACAATGCAGGAGGTATCACAATACCTGACTTCAAACTATATTACAAAGCAATAACAATAAAAACAGCATGGTACTGGCACAAAAACAGACATGAAGACCAGTGGAACAGAATAGAGGATCCAGATATGAAGCCACACAACTATGAGCAACTTATCTTTGACAAAGGAGCTAAAAATATACGATGGAGAAATAGCAGCCTCTTCAACAAAAACTGCTGGGAAAACTGGTTAGCAGTCTGCAAAAAACTGAAACTAGATCCATGTATATCACCCTATACCAAGATTAACTCAAAATGGATCAAGGATCTTAATATCAGACCCCAAACTCTTAAGTTGATACAAGAAAGAGTAGGAAATACTCTGGAGTTAGTAGGTATAGGTAAGAACTTTCTCAATGAAACCCCAGCAGCACAGCAACTAAGAGATAGCATAGATAAATGGGACCTCATAAAACTAAAAAGCTTCTGTTCATCAAAAGAAATGGTCTCTAAACTGAAAGAACACCACAGAGTGGGAGAAAATATTTGCCAATTATACATCAGACAAAGGACTGATAACCAGAATATACAGGGAACTTAAAAAACTAAATTCTCCCAAAACTAATGAACCAATAAAGAAATGGGCATGTGAACTAAACAGAACTTTCTCAAAAGAAGAAATTCAAATGGCCAGAAAACACATGAAAAAATGCTCACCATCTCTAGCAATAAAGGAAATGCAAATTAAAACCACACTAAGATTCCACCTCACCCCTGTTAGAATAGCCATCATCAGCAACACCACCAACAACAGGTGTTGGCGAGGATGCGGGGAAAAAGGAACCCTTTACACTGTTGGTGGGAATGTAGACTAGTACAACCACTCTGGAAAAAAATTTGGAGGCTACTTAAAAAGCTGGACATCGATCTACCATTTGATCCAGCAATACCACTCTTGGGGATATACCCAAAAGACTGTTACTCCAGAGGCACCTGCACATCCATGTTTATTGCGGCACTATTCACAATAGCCAAGTTATGGAAACAGCCAAGATGCCCAGCACTGACGAATGGATTAAGAAAATGTGGTATCTATACACAATGGAATTTTATGCAGCCATGAAGAAGAACGAAATGTTATCATTCGCTGGTAAATGGATGGAATTGGAGAACATCATTCTGAGTGAGGTTAGCCTGGCCAAAAGACCAAAAATCGTATGTTCTCCCTCATATGTGGACATTAGATCAAGGGCAAACACAACAAGGGGATTGGACTATGAGCACATGATAAAAGCGAGAGCACACAAGGGAGGGGTGAGGATAGGTAAGACACCTAAAAAACTAGCTAGCATTTGTTGCCCTTAACGCAGAGAAACTAAAGCAGATACCTTAAAGCAACTGAGGCCAATAGGAAAAGGGGACCAGGAACTAGAGAAAAGGTTAGATCAAAAAGAATTAACCTAGAAGGTAACACCCACACACAGGAAATCAATGTGAGTCAATGCCCTGTATAGCTATCCTTATCTCAACCAGCAAAACCCCTTGTTCCTTCCTATTATTGCTTATACTCTCTCTACAACAAAATTAGAGTTAAGGGCAAAATAGTTTCTGCTGGGTATTGAGGGGGGGAGCGGGAGGGGGTGGAGTGGGTGGTAAGGGAGGGGGTGGGGGCAGGGGGGAGAAATGAACCAAGCCTTGTATGCACATATGAATAATAAAAGAAAAATGAAAAAAAAAAAAATAAAAAAATTAAAAAAATAAAAAAAAAAAATATAATCTGTAGGTTTTTCAAACAAACAAAAAAGAGGGTCATTTACTAAAGTCCAGGGATTAGTTGATGTAAATTAAACATTTACAGGACCACAATGGAAACCAACCTACAGACTGCACTGTACTTCACAGACTTCTCTCTGGAGGAAGGCTTCAGTGGAGAATGTATTGCAGATTTTGTGGAAATTGTGTCATTTTAGCATGATATGGTTTAACTGTAATTTGTTATTTTAATATCTTTATATCAGAGAATTAAATTTATTTTACAATATTGTAAGATTCCAGATATGAAATGCCAAATTAAAAGTTTGACAGATATGTATACCAAAATGATTAGCCTAAGTTAACTTGATATAATGATATGGGGAAATATCAATGTATAAGTTAATATACCGTCATTGATCACATAATTTTTAAATGCATTTTTCAAAGTGCCAAGTAATGAAAGAAAAGTGTCTTACACTGAAATTTGCAGGTCTAGAATTTTATTATTATTATTATTTTGGCAGTACTGGGGTTCAAATTCAGGACCTGGCACTTGCAAGGCAGGAGCTCTATTGCTGATGCCACACCTCCAGATCTAGACTTCTACTATTTAAAGCAAAAAACTCTGTGAAAACTTTAATAAGGTTGTTGTCATGCCATCACTTTTCTGATACAATTAGATTAAATGGACAGTAAAGAGCCTAAATTTTAAGTTGATTTTACATATTTAACAATACTCACTTCAGAGCAGTAGCACATCTTGTTTTTTTTTCCCAAATAAAATCTGGAATTTATTTTTAAATGTTCCCAATAAAATAATTACTTGAAAATATCCACTAAGTCTTATGTGATTTTTTTCTACTTCTTTTGTCAGGCTTGAAATGACAATTTTTATCTCTTATAAGAAAGTACACAGCAGGGAGCTTTATAAACAATTTCATATTTTTCCTTAATCTTTCCAGAAAAGGTTAATAATAAAAAGTATTATAGGGAAATAAATAAAAGTGCTTACCTTATTTCCAGAAAATCTGCTGTACATTCTGTACCAAAGCTTTCCTCTAGAGAAAAGTTTAAGAAGTGCAGAGCAATCTGCTGGTTGATGTTGACTGTGATCCTATAAATGCATTCCCAGTTATTGGGGTAATTACTGGGGAAATTTTTAGAAGTGAATGACCCATAGTCATTTGTATAGTCCTCCAAGCATGCTATGAAAAGAAACAGAATATAAGAGAGAAAATAGAAAACATTATGTTATACTTGTAATACATTCTGTAATATACACTGCATTCATTTGTGCACTTGATTTTCAACAGAACTTTGTGGAATGTTCAGAGAATAATTTTATTTTGAAATCTAAGAGGCAAAACAATGAGAAAACCTCAGCTATGTGGTAGAAATATTTACATATGTCTTAAGAGAACAACCTTTTTGGTCTTAGGATAAAATTTTTCTTATCCATAATTTACCTTATATATTAAAAATAGGTTAAATTACAGAAATCTTAGAAGGGGCTTAGAAATAATTCAGTTCTGTTCCTTTCATAAACTTCCTTTAAAATGGTTTCTCCCAAAATATTTATTTGTGAGAAAGGACAAAGCAGGTATCAAAACTATGGAGTGAAGAATAGGAGACTAAATTTCAGGATCAGAGTGAAGTTCAGCCAAAACCTATCTCAAACACTGACAATCTATGCAAACTTGGGTAAGCTACTCCATCCCCTGAGCTGCAGTTTGCTTACTTCTAAAATGCAGACAGTTCACTATCTTTGACTAGGTGTAAGAGTTAGAGATAATGCAACTAAAGCGTTTAATTCATGATACATGCCCAATAAATTGTAGCAATCATTATTATTTTTCAAAATAGAACAGATGTAAGAAAAGCATAGAAGTAAGTTAAATTATTTATATAAAATGTTTAGAAGAGTACCTGGATACTGTTAGGTACTAAATAAATATCAACTATTCTAATTTAATAGTTTTTAACTTTACTTATTCAGTCCATCTGATTCTGTTTAAGAACAAATCTACTTCATCTCCAATGTCCTCCAAATCTGAGCTATTTTACAAAGGAAGTCTAGTTTTAATTCATTTTGATGTATCTTCAATTGCATCCAGTAATAACCTAGATCTAGGGTTTAGGAGTAGACAGAGCTCCCTGACTGAAAGTTTTAGGGAGAATAAGCTATTATTCTTTATTGCAAGTGAAATAAAATGAGTAATTCTAAATAAAAAGGGTAATTGCTGGTATTGGGCACACAAAGACACATATAAAATACAGTAGGTTCTTCTACCCATGCATAGCTCTCAGTGTAATGAACATTTGCCAAACATTTGGTTTTACTCAAGGTTTTGCTTTATTGAAGAAATCCACAATGATATTTAACTACAAAAGTGGTATTTCAGTCCAAACATGGAAAAGTGTGCTACTCTATAGTCTACCAAGATTTTTCAACAAGGGTGATGGCAGGAAGGGAGAGAGTGAGGGGAAAAAGAGAAGGAAGGAAGAAAAAGAAGTGAGGTAGGGAAAGAGGGATGGAAGGGGAAGAAGTATAGAGGCAGTATACTAATATTTCAGACCAGTATTGAGTATTAGTAAGATAAAATTTCCTGTATCTAATGGAAATTAAATGAAAGCTATGACCCCGTGTCCCTGAGTCTACAGAACTGAGAGACCCATTGACCTATACAAACATGGTTCACAACTGTAGCCAGTAAATCAAACACTTTGAGCAAATGCCACTTGTGTTAAAATAAATGATGTTCCTTACTTACCTACTCTAGTCTCAGGGGAAATACAATTGTACTACACATCTCTAATGCAGCTCCCAATTTGTCTGCAGGAGAATCCTACATATAATCCAGTTTCCAGGAAAGGGAGCCTGATTTAATGACATTTTAAAGCTGTCATGATGACTTATTTCCTTATACCTTCGCCGCATGCCAAGTGGTTAATCTGCCAGTTGGTGAGTTTGTTCATCTCTGCTGAAACTTTGATTTGCACACACTTCTCTACTAATGCTGGCATGAAGGTGAACTACAGTGTGTGAAGTGTTCAAATGATCTTGACACTGCCCACCTTGTCTGGAATGCTTTGCATGCAAAACCTCCCCTCCTCCTCCAACACATTCTTTACCAAATAAACTCTTCCTTATCATTTAAGGCCCAGTTCAAATAGCACTTCTGTAAGAACTTGCCCAGACCAGCCACACAGAATTAATTTCTCTGCACTCAATAAAATTTCATGAAAATAGCAATTTGAGCTCTCCCAAATATATTTCCGTAATTGTTTTTACATGAGTATATTTCTCCCAGGAGGCCTTAGTATATGAATAAGGCCTTATTAACCATTATTAACTGTCACTGTAGTATCTTCCCCAAATTAGGTCTCAGTTACTTTTGTTAAAATTATATAATATCATGTGTTGAAAACTGAGTGTGGTGAGCCATGTATCTAATTTCCTCCCACTCTTTCTACCCCACTCAGTTTTTCACTTTCAGGCTACCCTTCTATCCCCATCCTATAACCTCCTCTACTTTTATTTCCACATGTTTCCTTCTCTTTCTCATTCCTATCCTTTTGACTGGTTTGGTTGAGGTTCTTTAAGATTTTATAAGGTTCATTAAATCAAAATAAGATAATTTGCTTCTATCTATGATAAGCAACTGATACTGTATTCAGTATAATAAGCCCCTCTACTTAACAATCATCAAACTAGACAAAACATTGGATGATGGGCAATATAAGGTTAAAAGAAAGGAAAGTCATGAAGTGGGACTCTTTGATTTCCTTAACTCTTGAACTGGGCAGAATTTCCTGATGAGAGCAAGGAGCTCAGAAAAAAAAATTAGTTAATTTTCACCTAAAGAGACTAGAGAAAGGAGCCACCACAGGCATGGTGGTTCTTGCCCATAATCCTAGCTACTTGGGAAGCAGAAAAAAGTTCATGAGACCCCCATCTCAACAGAAAAAGCTGGGCGTGGTGGTACATGCCTGTCATCCTAGCTATGGCAGGAAGCATAAATTAGGATAGCCATCCAGGTCAGCCTGAGTGAAAGAACAAGACTCTCCAAAATAACCAGAGCAAAAAGGGCTGAAAGTATGGCTGAAGTTGTAGAGTGCCTGCCTGCCAAATGTGAAGCCCTGAGTTCAAACTCCAGTACCACCAACAAAACAAAACAAACAAAAACTCTCGACAAGTACAAATAAGGGAATTTGTCAACCTGATAAGGGACATATCTGTGAAAAAACCAGAATCACCACCATCATACTTACACACTAAACACTAAATGCTTTCCTGCCAAAATTAAGAAGCATGCCAATATGACCAATTTCACCCTTTCTATTGAGTATTGTATGGTAAATCATTGTGATAAGACAGGTGACCCTGAGACAAAGACAAAGAAAGGTAAAAATAAAACTGATCATCTATGTAGAATATACCAACAAATCTAGTAAATATTTATCAGAAAATAACTGAATTTAACAAGGTTACAGAATACAAGATAAGTATCTGAAAATCAAAATTTTACTTTGCATACATCAGTTAAATGAATATAAAAATTTTAATACTATTTACAATAGCATAAAACACTTGATGTTAAATTTAGTGGAAATGCAAAAACTATACTCAGAGCTTTCTAATGTTGCTGAAATTAGAGATGATCCAAATAAGTGAAATACAGCCAGGCATGGTGGTCCATACCTATAATCCCAGCTACTTAGGATATGGTCACAGGAGGATCATAAATTCAAAGCCAGTGGGGATTATCTCCAAAACTAAATACAAAGTAATAGCCAGCATATGTTTGGCAAGAAAGCAAAAAAAAAAAAAAACTTTTTAAGGACTCCTAATTTCAAAAGGTAACATTGAGGAAAAAGAACAGGTGAGCCCCACACACTGTAAAACTGTGAGATGATATTCACAGTACATCATTATAATAGAGGACATGCACCCAGAAGAGGTGCAAAGATTATGAGTTCGAGGCTAGCCTAGGCTACATATCAAGACTGTCTCAAAAAACAAAAAAATTATCTCTGCAACACTGAAGTCTGTACAATATCCATTTTTCTTCCCTTGGCAGTATAGATGGCACTTTCTAAAATAATATGAATACTGAGAATACTGCTAATCTTTAGTTTCCTCTGGAATGAACGTCTTCCTACAAAAGGATATTCATGTGTTGTCAAGATGCCTATCACATCAATATAAAATGCATACATAAAAATGTATGTGTGCCTTTATCTCATGTTTTCAGGGGAAAATTCATATAAATAACAATTGGTCTGTTAGTCTGGTCTTAGAACACTGACAAAGAGATAAAGAAGAAAAGTACATTTTTCCATTTCCTATATTCAATATAGTTGAATATCTCTGAAGATCAAAGACAACTGTTGGCAGAACTCACATATTTTTCTCTCCGACTAACCTCAAATGAAAAGGAAAACAAAGGAAGAAAATAGAAAAATTATGCGAATGTCCTCTATGGACCATTACAAAATCACCAAACTGGATTTTTCTGTAAATGATAGTGTTTCTCAGCCTCCACTGCACATTTTTGTACAAGTCTTTGTACCATATCATGAGCTCATGATCAAAGAAGGAAATCAGAATTCTGGGTAATCCTCCAAGCCACAAAGCAATGATGGTATCAGTCCCACAAGCTCAGAGTCACAGGAGTAGAATTAACTGTTCCTGTGGCTAAAAGAATGATGGTGTAGGGAGATAGGGAGACACTAGATTTAGGGTAACTGTCCTACCACCTCCCTGCTTTGCCTTATAGAATAATTTATGTTATTGTTCAATCATATTAAGGATTGATCCATAGACCATGGCTTCTAAAATCACTTAGGAGTCTCGGTTTCTGAATGAATCCATATGACTCAGATTTATATTCTGGATATAAAATGAATAGCCAGCCCAAGGAATCATCATGGGGCTTTTCTGGCATATTTGATTTAAATTTTCTTTAAAGCCAGGACTTGAGGGAAGATACACTTACAGACTTAATTTCTCCCTTAGGAAAGAAGAAACATTCCTAACCGAAATCTAACATTTTGCTACAATTTTCTGCTAGGCAGTCACAACTGTTGCCTTTTATTTCAAAGATGATCAATTCAAATGAGTATGAATACAAGCAAAACACTCACTATTGAATTGTGCTTGGATATCTAGCAAAGTCACAATGCTTTACAGTTATAATGAAATTTAATGCTGAATGTTTCTTTTTATCTTCCCTGACTGAGAAACAGCCAGGAATGATCATCCACACTTTTTAGTGTGAAGAACCTGAGTCTCCTGGATGCTAAGTTCTGAAAATCACTTAGTTCAGACATGGCCAAGAAAAAACTGAACCTAAGTCCCTCCCCCTTCCAAATCCTGTCCTCTTTAATAATTCCTAGTTTCTCTCTAAAAAAAAAAAATGTGAACTTAGTAATAAAGACAAGTAAGGACCTAGCAGTATCGCATCTAAGCATTCTATTCTGAATTTTCATTCTAAGGTCCCAAGAAATGTAATAAATAAAAGAAGTGAATGTAGATGGGAAGTAGAAACTACTGGAACACTTATACATGCAAAAATGTAAGAGAACACTTCCAATTCACTTAAGTAAATCTTTTAGAGATGAATAGACGTACTAAAAAAACTTCCCTCAAAAATAAAGTATCTGACAATGGAAAATTCAGAATTCAAGGTGGAAAGAATACGAGAGGCTTGTGACTTCTCTGAAGTATATCAAGTTAGTATCAAGGTGGGATAGAAACAAGACCTCATTCTCCCCTGCCTTCCTCTCATTATATCATGAATACTGTTTTCCATCATACCATAGCATTTGCCATTACATCTTTTTTGTAGTTCTGTAGTAATTTATGTATTAAAACCTAAATTTCAGTCTTTGCTTAACTATAAAGACAAAATTTTGTCACAACAACTATGAATTGCTTTGCAAAACTGCACTCTAGACCTATTTTAATCAGAATTTCTGGATGAGACCCTGAAACCTGAATTTGTAACAAGATAATCCACTCCTTCTCAAGTTTCTTATAAACAGTAAGAGTTTGAGAATGCTGCCCAGATTGAAGTTTTAAAATAGGAACAGCTATTTATCTACTCTTTTCTTCTAAATAAAGGTCTATTATTACCTCTCTGGTTATTGTTTCTTAACTTCCTACTCTTAGATGTTTTTCTCTGGGGTCACTGCAAGATGACTGAGAAAAACTAGCACCAAACACCCAGTGCGAGGAAGAAGTTGGGAAGGCCCAGTAGGGCTCACCTTTAACCTGTACTGATGTGTTTATGCTCATTCCTGGTCATTTCCCAGGACAATCATAAAGCTCTTTCTTCCCCTTTGAGAAAAACAGTCAAAGTTCACCACAGTTCTCTTGTAGCTGAATTGAATGTTCCCACACACACTATGTGCAATGCACTCAAGCATTTCCAAGAGTTAATTGAGACATGGCAAAGACATGGATTGCATGCTGAGCCTGACTGTTTAGTTTGGCTCCCAAATCACCTAGCTGTGTATTTTGGGAAAGATAAATTCAACATTCTAGATTGCTATCTGCCTTATTTAAAAGTTAATTGGACTCCATTTGTGATTTGAACTTCCTTGACACACCATAAAAATGCATTTACATCAATCATACACACATAGAGATATTACAAACAGATTTCATGAAGTGCTACCTAAATTTGTACGGTAAACTCTAATACTTTACGTTCTATTTTCTAGTCTACTCTATACTTTTAACAGATGCAGTCATGAATAAGTTATGAGTTACAGTGTGAAAAATAACAGAGTAGATATTATTTAGTTTTTCATCTAATATTAAAGTTAAAAATGAATTAAGTACATTTCTGTTTGGTTTATAATTTATTACTTTTCTTTCTTTGGAGTCATGGGGGATTGACCTCAGGGCACCATACTTGCTTAAGGAAGCACTACCACCAGAGCGAGCTTCCCAGCCCTTCACTCTTTAGTTTGTTTTTGGTAGCATCTTGTGCTTTCGCCTAGGCTGGCTGCACACCTCGATCTTCCTACCTCTACCTTCCAAGTAGCTGGGATTACAGGCATTTGCCACCCTGTCCAGCCCCTGGTTTGTACTTTTAGAGTTCTATTCTAGTGCTAGGGGGATTAGTTGTTAACGTATATGGAATAGATGTTAGTAGAATATAAAATTATAATTTAAGTGGTGAAATTATCCAATTGTATTCCCTCAATGCTCAAATATTTTGTTCTTTAAGTTCACAAACATTTTAATCAGTTACTAAGAATGGCTTATGAGTTTCTACCCACTAACATTTTACTCTTTACTTCTTTTATTTCTATTTCCCCAGGCACATCTGGATGAAGGCAAAACCAGACTGATGGGGATGGAGTCAAAGTAATGACAGGAAGAGAATCTCTTTCCTCCCAAACACATATTTAATGGCTGACATCATAGCCATAGCCACACAGCATGAACCGCAGATGGAAAAGTAACTGGATTTGCATCAGAAATTTTCACTTTTATCAGAAAAGACAGGAAAGATTTGAGCAGGGAAACACACACTGACTGTGCTGAGGAACCCTGAAATCAGCAACCAAAACCATTGCCATTGCTCTGAAAGTAACATCTGATAGAGCAATAAAATAGGATAAGGGTCATTGATGCTTTCCCCTAACACTATTTCAATCTTCAGGAAACAGTTAAAAGAAGTTGATAACTGAAAAGAAAGTGTCTTATAATTCCTAATATCTCTGTAGTTTTGAGTCAGCAGCTCCCTCTGATCAGCTCTCTGCCTGGCTGCTACCAGCCTGACCTCCATTCAGTCTTCTGAACTCTGCCCTTCCCTGAGAAATACTGTAGGGCCACCCTCAGTAATTCCTGTGAGCCAGTCATTTGCATCCTGCCCTATGGGAAACTGTGGCAGGCTCCAGAATTATAAATTGAAGGTACTATATGTCCTCCTGGATCCAGTCCTCCCACTGCTATTTGAAATGATTTGACTGTATTAGTCAGACCTATGACCTCACCCAGTAAAAGGCAGGCACACAGTGACCAGCCAGGCTAAGGCAAGGGACAGAAGGTATGTTCTTCCTTGTCTGGTATTTCAGCCCTGTCTGGACCAAATACAGGCTAACATAATGACTAACTCACAAGCTAGCAGGGTGGAGAGTCATTCATTAGAGTTGTTAATTCAGTATCTTCATTTTTTTTAATCACTTTTCTCTCTCTCTCCCTTCCTCCCTCCTCTCTCTCTCTCTCTCTCTCTTTCTCGGGTGAGGGGCTGCTGTGATTGAACTCAGGGCCTCCTGCATGCAAAGTATATACTCTAGATGGACTACACCCTCAAATCCTCAATCTGTTCTCTCTCTATTGATTTTTCTTCCTGCCCAGTTTTGCCCTTTCTTTTTCTTTAATTGACTTTTATTTTACTTGTATATCTTTCTGAAGACTTCTAGTTAAATTTTAACTTTAACATCCTCCTTGATAGATTATTTCAATTGCTCTTAGTTTCTGCAGTAAATGGTGCCTCACTAGCTGGTATATTAACAGAGTTGTCACCACAGAGCTTTGTCTTACTTTACATGTTATTACAAAGATTTCCATGATTATTTCAGGAGGCTCTGTCCTGAATTATATGTTATCTATGATACAGCTAGTTTATTCATGCAGCAAATTAAAATTATGTTCAAAGATGTTTAGACCCAGAAGACATTTCAAAGATCATCAAATTCAATCCTTTAATTACACAGATGAGAAAACTGCAGCTCAGAGAGTTCAAGTGACTTACCCCAAATCTAATATTCAGTGTGGTTTGGGGCCAAACATATGAGACAGATAAAACTACAGAAGTATGGAAAATTGTGTGCACACTATAATTTCTTGAGAAACCAACTTTGGTTTTTGGATATTAACCACTTGAACAAAGTCCAGTGAACATGTCAATCACACAATATAACCTATTATGAATCCTAGGGATTGCATTTCCCATGTGCTTGGGCTGGATAATGAACTATCTCCTACTCAGAGTTTGACCAGAGGTAAAAGTATATGTTTATTTTGCACTTAGGATTCTGGAGAAACCTAACTCATGCTTTCAAAACACAGAACTACTGCAGAGAACAGTAATTTTGCCTGAATTGCAGAGTAATGACCAGAGCCTCTGAAAGAGAAATAAATAAGGAATTCTGAGCAAAAGATTTTGGTATGTGGTGTAAGGACTTTCCAAGAAAAACAGTTGGGGTCTCCAGACTCAAGACTGTCAGAAGAACACGTCCAGGCACAGGGAAAGTTCCCAGTCTTTTCTGAAAGGAGCTCAGTGAATGACACCATGCTTCTAGAACAGTCCTGATTGTGTTACCCATTTTATGCATTTGTATTTTGCCACCATTGCCTCTCACTCTCTCTCTCTTTCTCTCTCTTTTTCTTTCTCTCTCTCTCTCTTTCTCTCTCTCTCTCTCTCTCCCAATCTTGCTCTTTTCTCTTTGACTCTATCACTCACTCACTTACTACCTGAACCATTTCAGAGTAATCTGTAGACATTACGTGCTTTACTCCTAAAGTAGTCAGTGTATTATTCCTCTGCAATTTTTTGAGACAAGAGATCATCTCACAACATAGGCCAGGCTTCGAGCTTATCCTTTTACCTCAACCTCCTGAGTAGCTAAGCTGATAGGCATTTACCACCATGCCTGACCAGTGTGTTACTCCTAAGAACAAAAGCATTCCCTTATAAAACCACAGTGTAATTATCAAATTTAGAAAACTTAATACTGTGGAAAATTCATATTGATCTAATATAATTGATTCAATACAATTGATTAGTATTAATACTAACATTGTACTAAAACTGATCCAAAACTTCTGTCTAATCATTGCTATGTTATTTAAGTCATTTTATCTTATTCCATATTCTAAATACTGCTTCCATTGTGTGCCACAGGTTTGGGATGAAGTATTGTTATTGTGGCTTAGATGTCAGTACTGCTTCGTAATGAAATAAATGTCACCAAGCATGCAAAGCTGCTTTGTTACCTGCTGATGTGTCAATTGCTGCATACTGTATTGAAAAGCCTTCGTGAGCGAGGTCAGAGTTGGCCACAAATTTCAGCATCACTGAGTTAGAACTGCTGGTAAGAGAAGGCGGGATGGATGTTCCACAGTATCTATTCCAAACCAAGAAAGAACAGACAGGTTTGAAACTTTTAGTATATTCAAAATGATGTACCAATAATTAGGAAATATATGATAATGGGATGCAGTAAAGGGAAACAATGTGTCATTAATTCATAGAGCACAGACACTGGTCAGTTCTACTCAATTTCTTTGCCTCATTGTCTCCATCTCTAAAACAGAGATGTTGATATATCTACTTTAGAGAGATGGTCTTACGAATTTGAGCAGTTAATACATTACATGTAAAGCTTGTAGAACAACATGCCTGGAACAGTAATCCTTTTGTAGGTATCTTTAAACAGCTGTGCTATGGAGAACTAAGGGTTTAATTACTAAGCCATCTAACATTTTTGCAAAAAAAAACCCAGCAATTTTAATCAGAAAAATGAGTCTAGTAATGCCAAAAATGAGGCTGTATATTATAAAAGACATTATGCCATGAGATTTGAACTATAGAAACACCCATAAGAAAGAAAGACAGGAAAAATAGAAATGCCAAATCAAAGCACACTTGTAAAAATTAAAGAATTGAAATGAAAGAGAAAAAATAGCATGGAAACTAAAACAAGAGAAAATACTGAATATGAGAAATATGTAAGTTAGTTTCTGAAGGAGAAAAGGAAAAAAAATTGGCATATGATAACACTTTAGTATTAAAAAAGACTTAACATCTTAAAATAAAGGTAGGTGAATTAAATAAATCCATACATGCATGTGACCATGGATACTAAATTTAGACATGATCATTATGGTTTACATTTTTGAGCAAAAAACTATGTATTTCCAATGGTTATAAGTACACACCTGCCCCTCCCCAAATAAGAAGTAAAAGAAGAAAGTTTAAAAAATAAAGATAAGTAAGAAGCAAAACATGAAGGGGAAAAGTAAAAACAGAAAAAAAATTTAAGAAAATAATGGATAGGGGAAAATGTTCAAAAAGTTATGACAAAAGAAAAGAAAATATGCAAAGAAAAAATAAAAAAGGCAACTGGGAGAATTCCATTTCCAACAAAAACATAATAAGTTTGCACCTGAAACTAAAAACCTGGGGACAATATGTAAAGTAGTGGCTCTCAAGACACTGGATATCTAGCCAAAAAGGACAAGGACTCTTCAGGGACAGGAAACAAATGTGTTCAACAGGGAAAATGAAAGGACCAAACTGGTTTCAAGTAATTTAACTGCATTCCAGGACAAAGTTCAAGAATATTTATGGGAATATAATAATGTCATGTGCCAAAACCATAAAATTGAAAATGCCTAACATTCTATCAACTATTATTAAGCAGGAAAGTATAATTCATAATGAAAAGGGGAAAATTAATTGAAACCGAGCAAGAAATTATATAGATGCCTATTAGTAGATGAAGACATTAAAGTGATTATAACTATATCCCATAAATTTAAGCATCTGTAGGAAAAACCAATATGTAAACTACAAATACAGACCATATATAGTCATGTGATACATAATGCCAGGAAAACTGGATCTGCTCATACAGAAGAATGAATTTAGACCCTTATTTCTCACGATGTCAAAAATTCAAATCAAAATGAGTCAAGGTCTGCAGCAATGAAACTAGTAGAATAAAACACAGGATAAATGCTTCATGACATCAGTGTGGGCAAGGGTTTTTATGGATATGACCTCAGAAGCACAGGCAACAAAAGCAAAAATAGACAAATGGAATCCATCAAACTACAAATCTTCCACATGGCAAAAAAAAAACAGTGAAAAGACAGCTATGGGATAGAAAATATCTGCAAATTATACATCTGACAAGCAGTTTATATTCAAAGTAAGTAAGGAATTCAATAACACAAAAAACAAGTAATCTGACTTTTAAAAAATGGAATAAGGAAACCATGAACTGATATTACTCAAAAGCAGACATAGAAATATCCAAGTACATGAAAAAAGTGCTCAATGTCACTGAACATCACGGAGATGCAAATCAAAACCACAATGAGATATCATCTTACACCTATTAGAATAGCTATTATCAAAAAGACAAATGATAAATGTTGATGCAAATGTGGAGAAGAGAACCCTTACACACTGTTGGTGGAAATATAAATTAATGCAGCCATATGGAAAACGACATAGTGGTTCCTCAAAAAATTAAAAATAGGACTACTACATGATCTAGTAAACCTACTACTGAGTATATCTGAAGAAACGAAATCATCATGTCAGAGATATCTGCCCTCTCATGCTCATTGCAGCTTTATACACAATAGTCATGATATGGAGTTAACTAAGAGTCCATGGATGGATTAAGCATATGTATATATGTATATATGTAAAAAGAATGAAATCCTGCCATAAGCAATGACATAAATAAACTTGGACTTTGTATTATGTGAAATAAGCTAGAGACAGAGACACAAACACCACATGATCTTGCTCATATGTGCATTCTAAAAAAGTTGATATCATAAAAGCAAACACTATTAACAGTGCTCATCAAAGGCTAGGCAGATTAGGAAGGAAGTGAAGATGGAGAGATGTTAGTCAAAGGATACATAGTTACAATTGGAAAAGAAATAAGTTTCAAGAAGTCTATCACACAGCAAGGTGATTATGGTTGATGATGTATCTTTAAAAAATGTACAGAGTGGATGCTGTATGCTATTACCACTAAAATGATAACTATGTAAGGTAATATGTTTGTTAATTATGTCAATTTAACCATTCCACAATGTGTATATATATTTCAAAATACCTTGTACAAGATAAAAATATGTTATCAATTTAAAAATAGAAGAGAAAATGGATGAAAAATAACAGTAAGCATATTACTGATTACTGGAAAATATCTAGAAAACAATCAATAAGTTACCAAGTGCAGTATAAGAAAATATAAAACCAAACAAAATAACCTTACCTCTCAAGAGATGTCTCAGAGCCAGTGTCATAAACTTCCAGGTAGTCATTGGTGCAACCATATTCAAACTCCAAATGAAATCTAACAAACTCCAAACGAATCAGTTTACCAGGTTGAACTAATATATGCCAGGTACAGTTGACACCATTAGGGTAGATATTTGGATAGCCAGGACTTTCAATTAGTCCTGCTGACTCTGTAAAAACTTTCCCACACACTGTTGAAATAAAAATAATAGCAATTATCACAACAGGTAGCCAACAAGCACCCACATTCCAAAATAACCTGGGTATTATAACCTCTTAAAACTTCAAAAGAAAAAAATGCTTTGTCTTGTGTCATTTAAAATAATTTAGTTTTTCTCTTATAAACAGACACCAAGTAAAAAATGATAAGTATTGATTAAAAATATATTCTGTCTTTAATTGTGCTTTATAAGTTTTGTTCACTTATTCTTGTGAACTTGTTTTTTTGTTGTGCTAGGGATCAAACCCAGGACTTCGCACATGCTGGCAAACTCTCTACCACTGAGCAACATCCCTAGGTCTATGGTTCACTTATTCTGATATCAGCTTAAAAGGTGAAGAAAGAGACAGTGTCTTACCCAAATTCTCAGTACTGTACTTAGCCATGAAACCATGATTTTCAGTAGAAGAACTTTTCACAAATGTGACATAAAGAATATTGTACACGGATGTTATAACTGAAGGTACTTCTGAACCACAATACTTTTCATTCTCAGGAGAGCCCAAAATGGAACTGCTACCAATCTAAAGTAAAACAGGTATAGCCACATTTATTTTGTTAGGTATGTGTTTTGGAAAACTGCTTCAAGAACAATTATTTCTGAAATGCTTTTATTGCTACAGGAATAATCAATTTGAGAACATAATTAATTTTAGAGCATTTTAGTTATGCCACAAGAAACTCCATTGGCAATTACTCTCCTTCCGCTGAAACCAGAGTGCCAGGCAGCTACTGATCTCTCTGTTCCTATAAATCCATTCTGAGCATTTCCAACAAACGGAATCACATAATATGTGGTCCTCTGTGACTAGGTTCTTCCAGGCAGTAGAATGTTTTCAAAGTCTATCCATCTAGCAGCAGATGTCATTAATAAATTCCTTTTTAATGCCCATACATATGGCAAGGGTATATTATATTTTATTTATCCATTCATTAGTTGAAGAATATTTAAGTTGTCTCCACTTTTTAAATTATAAATAATCATTGTTTGATATTTTCATATGCTATAATAAATCATTTTAGGAATATTAAATAAATTTTGGTGTGGCTATATACTTTCAGTGCCCTTATGTACAAAAGTAAGAGTAGGATTGCTGGATCAAATGATAACTCTGTGTATGACATTTTGAGGAGTTGAAAACTGCTTTTCAAAATAGCTACATCAATGTGCATTCCCAGCAGCAATGCTTAAGGGTCCCAGTTTCCCCGTATCCTCACCAATACTTGTTATTATGAGTTTTTTTATTACAGCCATCCTGTGGGGGTGAAATATTATCTCATAATAATTTTGATTTGCATTTCTCTGATGACTAAAATTATGTTAAGTGTCTTTTCACATGCTTCTTGTCCATTTGCATATCATCTTTAAATAAATGTCTATCTATATCGTTTGTCAATTTTTAAAACTTTCAACTTTGATGAAATCCAGTTTCAACTTTGATGAAATCCAGTTTTTCCATTTTCTCTTTTGTTGTTTTTACTTTTGTGTCATAGCTAAGAAGGTTTTTACCTAACCAAAGCTCAAAATGACTTACTACTCTAATTTCTTCTAATAGTTTCATGGTTGTATATCCCACAGATAGATCTGTAGGCCATTTTAGTTAATTTTGGGTACAAGCAAGAGGTCCAACTTCATACTTTTGCTCATAGATATTCAGCAGCATTTGTTGAAAAAAATGACCTTTTATTTCATAAATCAGTTGACCTTAAAAGTATGTGTTTATTTTTGTGCTTTGAATCCTGTTCCATTGATCTCCATTTATATCCCTGCTCTAATAACAGACTGTACTGATTGCTGCTTTGTTCTGAGGTTTGATTTTGGAAATTGTCAGTTCTCCAACTTTGTTCCAGAATGTTTTGGCTATTCTTTTTCCCTTGTATTTTATATGAATTTTATAATCAGTTTGTGAATTTCTACAAAAAGAACCACCTGAAATTTTGATTGGAATTGAATCTTTAGATTAACTTGGGGAGTACTGCCATTTTAACAATTACTAAATCTTATCTGTCAACAGAAGACATCTCTCCATTTATTTAGGTCTTTACAATTTCTTTCCATGATGTTTATAGCTTTCAGAACACAAGTCTTGTACTTCATTTTAAGTATATTCCTTAATGATTATTATTTTAATGCTATTATAGATGGAATTATTTCCTTGATTTCATTTCCAAATAATTCATTGGTAGTACATAGAAAAAGAAATTATTTTCACGTTTTGATCTTATAACCTGCAACTTGCTGAATGCATTAGTTGTATTAGTTTTTATGTGAATATATTCCTTTAGATTTTCTGCAGACAAGCTTATGTTATCTGTGAATAAAGATACTTTTACTCCTTCCTTTCCATTCAGGATACATTTAATTTCTTTTCCTTGTTTAATTGCTCTAGGAACAAATTCCATATAATGTTGAACAGAAGTGTAAGGATAGACATCCTTTGTCTTTTTATTGGTCATAGGGGCAAAGCATTTTGTAATTCATCATTAAAAATGATGCTATATGTGGCTTTCTTAATGGTTGCCCTTTTTCAGATTAAAGACTTCTCTTTTCCCCTAGTTTGCTGAGTGCTTTTGTTATGGAAAGTGCTGGATTTTGCAAATGATTTCTCTGTATCTATTGAGATGAACATGTTTATTTGACTTTCATTTTATTGATATCAGCATGATATTCATTGATTTTGGGGTATTGTAACAGTCTAGACTTCCTGGAATAAATATCACTTGGTGATGAAACATAGTCCTATCTATACACTGGATTCAGGTAGCTAGCATTTTGTTAACAATTTTTGTACCGATAGTTGTAAGAGATATTGATCTACATAAATGATTTCTGTTTCATATAAATGAATTGAGTGTAACACGACATAATATTTTAGTAATTTAAAAGCAAGTACAAATATGCAAAGGTTTGTTTACTCTTACCTCAATATAATCTGTATCACAGTGGGTATAACTTCCAATGTGCAAGTCAGTGAAGTTAAGAAGAACTATTTGGCTTAGGGACTGGCGGATGGTCCACCTACAGGTCCTTTCTCCAGGATATACATTTGGATAAAAAGGTGAGCGAATAACCCCTTCTCCAGTTAATTCACCCCCACAAGCTGTAAATATGAAAATGACAGTAGTGTTTGTCCAGAAATGAGTAATTCTTGCCCTCAACTTTATTGCAAAATCTAATTCTGCCTGAAAAGATGGCAAAATGGAACTCTTTTTTTTTTTTTTTTTTGGTAGTAATAGGGTTTGAACTCAGGGCCCCACACTTGCTAGGCATGTCTCTACCACTTGAGCCATTCCCTTTTTTGTGTTGGGTATTTTTGAGATAGGGTCTCATGAGCTATTTTCCTGGATTGGCTTTGAACTGTGATCCTCCTGATCTCTGCCTCCCAAGTAACTAAAATTATAGGCATGAGTCACTAGTGCCCAACCTGAATGTGACATTTCTGAGAGAATAATTCCTTGAGACTTGAGAACATAAAATAACTTATTTTAAGAAATTAAAATGTTCCAATCAGTTAAATTAGCCATTTAAAAATTAAGCAGCAATTTCCTTACCAACTTGATAAACAGCTCTGAAACTAGCCCTTTGGACAGAAGTGCCTATTTTAAGCCTGATCCAGACATTGTTAGTAATAGATCGGATGGGAGAGAGGGTTTCGTTGCCACAGACTTTTCCAAGTAAGGTTTCCTCATCTCGAACCTAAACAGAAAAATAAGATAGCTCTGTAATCCTAACTGATAAAGTTACCTTGGCAATGGTAGCACTATTTGGAGATGAAACTGTGGTAGATTCAATATGTACAAAAATCTAAGTTAGGTAATATTTATGATATTTGAAAGCAGCCAGTATGTCATTTTTAGCACAATGTAATAAGACTAAATGTTGACAAAATCTTTAAGCCAATAAAATTCCAAAGCATAAGAATCTTAAAGATGTCCTACTAATACTTTCCACAATGCCAAAGACAAAATAAATCTATAATTTTGGACTACTTCACAAACAACCAGAAACAAGTATACTGTATGTGAAAACAAAAGTTTCAGTCACACCTGAAACCAAAGGAAGTTATGGAATAAACTGTTTTCATTGATGACAGAAAAAAAGATAGGAAGTTAGAGAAAGAGAAAAAGAGAGAGAGAGAGACAGAGAGACAGAGACAGAGAGACAGAGAGAGAAGAGGGAAGGAAGGGCAAGGGAAGGGAGAGGAGGAAAGAGAAGATGAGAGAGCTCACTTATGGAATTCAATTTAAAGTTTAGAATAAAAGCATTAAATGAGGAAGAATAAAGTAAAAAATTAAAGCAAACCTAATAAAATACAAAATAAAGTAGAATTCATAATACATTGAAGAGCTGTTTTGGAGGGAGGTTGAGGGATGGGGTTTAAAAAAAACCTCAGGTCTCATTTTTCCATTTACATAGATGTGTACACAGTATATGGGGGTATGGGGGAAAGGAGAATGATGGAGGGGATGAATTCAACTATGATATGTCGTAAGAACTTTTGTAAATGTCACAAAGTACCCCCAGCACAAGAATAATAAATAAATAAGAAAAATCTCTGGCAACTCTAATAAGCACAAATACACAAAACTAAAAATCACAAAGGTGCTAGAAACACAGATTCTAGGAAATATTTTAAATATAATTCTATATACAATTATATGCCAATATATTAGAATGCTTAAAGTGAATTATTCTAAAATATATATATATAAATTATTAAAATCATCTAAGGAGAAAAATAAAATCCATATAAACATAAGCTATGGATAAAATCTAAAAAATTACCAAGTAATTACTTCACCTTTCCCAAGGGATAAACTTCCAGGAGACATTCTTTAAAGTAAGGCCTTTTAAAATTTGAAGAAATAGATAACTCCATATGTAGTTTGTTTTATGTCACCATCAAACATGGAACAATTTCCAATTAATTTTTCTCAGAACCCTGTTACTAAATTCTGACATAAATAGTAAAAATGAAGAACCATGGGCTGATCCCATACATTAATATAAATACAGAAATCCTGAACACAATTCTAGAAAAATGAATTTATAGTCCATTGTCAGTCTTGTATACAAAAACCAAGTATGAAAACAAAAGTATTGTAAGGATTGTTTGAAGTTATAATTTATATAGAACTTCATCAATAGATCCAACCTGATAAACCATATGATAGCTCTATAACTGTCAAAATGTTTGTTTATATCCTAATTTATTAAAAGCAAAACTTAGAAAGTCAGAAGAGAAAGAAAATGTCCTTCATATAATAAAGACTATGTGTGATGCTTACTTTTGATTGTCAGCTTTATTGGATTATGAAATGCCTAGGAGACTTGGAAATCACACTTCTGGTTGTGTCTGTGATGGCATTTCCAGGAATGACTATATCATGAGGGTTCTGACCTAATGGATGGATTAATCCCTTGATAATCTGATGGCATTATCAGGAGATGGTGAGGTGGAAGGTGGGAACCAGTTGGAGAAGTAGGTCACTAGGGGCATGTTCATGACGGGATGGGTATTATTTTGCCCTAGCCTCTTCCTGTTTTCTTTGCTCTCTCCCTGGCCACTGTGATATGATCTTCCCTACGCCACCAAATCCTCCCCACCATAATAGATGGGCACCTCTGGAACTGTGATCTAAAATAAATTTTTCCACCCTTAGGTCATTCTCTGCTATTTTGGTCAGGGCTGCACAAAAATAATTAATGCACCACCTGTTTTAACTAAACAACCGATGAACACCATCTATGCATTTATGAACTAGGTTCAAATCCTACCTCTCAGAAGCCTCCACTGTTAACCTGGAGCATACTACTACATCTAAGCCTAGCTCATGGGATGGTTGAAACAAATAGGTGAAACAGTAATGTGATTTTTCTTAATAAGATACCTGGTAATAAAAATGTTGATTAGGGAAGAGCTATTGCTATTCTTGACATTTTTAAAGATGAAATACTTTAAAGGCATCTCACCATAATTGGGAACCATTCAATGGGTATACCTACTACTTATGCTACATAAAATTATTACTGAGGCTCTGGAAACCTAAATACTAATTTGTTCACCTAATGAACTCTCAAAAGGTTTCAATAAGTACTAGGACCTGCGCTGACAATAGCACTGTGGAGCACTGTCCACAAGAAATTTAGAACAGGCAAGAACATTTTGTGAAGTGTGACAAGTTGGATGTCTGGAAAAATGCAAAGTGCTGCATTTTTTATTTAACCAACGGTTCTCAGTAGGTGCCACAATTAGACATTTGGGAATTTTGTGAAAGTATTTTTTGTTTCTGTTTTTAATTATGATCATAATGATGGTGGGTTACTATTGGCATTTAGTGCCTAAGGATAAAGAAACACCAGGCCAGCCTGTAATGTGAGAGAGAATCATACATAACAGGTATTTTTAAAAGTCCCTTATGACATTCATACTGATGAAAGTTTTATTATTAAGCATAAAATCTAGTTCTGTTTTACATATTAAACAGTATTTTTGTACAATTTAAATGAACACTGATTTTTTGGGGGAATGACTAGTGTAGTATAAATGGAAATAATCCTTTCTTTCCCCTTCCTGGAACTCTGCCAAGAGTTGGTCGCCATTTCAGAAAAGTTAGTCACCAACCCACACAGCCATGTCAGCCCACATTTGCTCAGCAGCATTCATAGTAATTTAGGATACACACAGCTGACAGCTTCATTTTGTCTTCAAATGCAGCATGCCCAGGCAATTTTTATTTTGCCAGTTTACTTTCATTTCTCCTTAAAGTTATACTTACAGCTTTATATTTTTAATATAATATGTGTAATGAGGTTACATGAATGAATTTCAGAATAGTAAAAAATCATCAAGTAGCAAACTACTGGCTTAACAAAGACTGAACTTATCCAGGGGATAATGGACCATTTCTCAACAGAAATAACCTCTAAACTGAGATTTGGAGGCCAAGGAGGAATTATGTAAGCCAAGCGAAGCGAAGATTTCAAAACTATGATAGTAGAAGCTGATAGATTGTTGGCTTAGTTACTGTTGCCCATAAGTGGTAGAAATTTAAGGTTCTAGAAGATTACATGGCAATATGTATCATGAGTCCTCCAACTCTAACACTCTATTGTAATGACTTCAAGATGCAGGAAAAAATGCATGTGGATCCACTTCAGACTATGATCTATAGGGACAAGAACTGAAGCTATTTAAAGGTCAAATAATAAGAAGTGATTAAACAACTTATGGTGCAGCCATATGAGAGAGTCTTACACAGACATAAAAAATCACATGCCTCTCCACTGACTCAGGCTCAAACCAGTTCCTTTCTCCAAACTCTTACAACATCTGCAACACAAACTGTACTTATTGAAGTAAAGTCATGCCAAATTTCCCTCTAACCAAACAGCAAATCTCAGAGGAAAGAGCAAATTTCTGCATCCCCTTTAGCATCTCACAAGAAAACTTTGCAAATAGGTATTTGGCACATCCTTGTTGATTCATTAATCTTAAAGTGCCATACCTGATGGTTCCTTTTGTTAAGAGATGTAGACCTGCTGCAGTTCTTGAAAACCAGAAAGCATGACACGTGGAGTAAGATAGCTTCCTGCTCTCCAATCCCCCAGGGTTCTGTTTGTTCTTCTAAAATTATGGTCTCTCTTTTCTATTTTGCCCATTAGAAGATGACAAGAAATTCAGCAAATAGCATCAGAGCAAACTGAAGTAAGCCATTCCCTTGGGCTCTGATTAATGAAACTCAAGGACTTTAGCAAGGAGAAGCAGCTGCAGTCCAAATGTTTTAAAAAGAACTTATAGGGCTCAAGGGCCCTAAACCTAGAAGGTGCAATTGATTTTGGCTACATTTCTCTCTCTTCGGGTAAATGAAACCTTATTAATTCTGAAGATGGTACTCTCCCTTGATCCTACTCATGGCAGTACTTTTAGCCACCACACTTTTGAAAGAGATCCTGAAATAAAATATACCAAATGCTCTAAAGTGACCCCTGATATTTTTTGCATCACAATTTGCAACTTCTAGGACTCCAAAAAAATCTTTTCCTTTGTGCTTCTGAACTAGGATAGACTATATTGTTTTTCATAACTGCTCAGTTCCCTCTTCTAAGAGGAGTGAGTATCTATGCCCTTTGCCATGTGACTTGCTGTGTTTCTCCCTATGGAGAATTAGTACTTAGCATTGCCTTTGACTGTGAGCTTAGACATAGGACGTGCTTTGCCTCACAGAATGTGAGTAGAAGTGATCTGATAAATTTCCAAATATAGGCTTTGGCTGCCGTTGTGTGATTCAACCACCTTTTACTTTTCCCTCTCACAAGACCAAGAGGCTGGGTCCCACAGTGGCAAAGACATGAGAAACAGCAGCAGAGCTCTAAGCAGAACTGATTCAAAGCTAACATGTTAATACACCAAAAGGTAAACACTACTGTAAAGCACAGAATTCTTTTGCTTTCCTTTTTTAATCTGTCTGGCAATCTTTAGTGATTGCTTCTTATTGCAGCATAACCAAGAGAAAGATGACTAATATACGAACCTGGTTTGCAGTAACAAAGTTGTTTGTTTGCTTGTTTATTTGTTTTAAGAGGTCAGGTGAAGCCATGCCATGATCACTTGGCAGAAGGAATCACAAAAAATAAATTCTTTTAGTGGATTGCATTTGCAAAGGAATGGCAGAGACCAGTGTAAAATGCTAGTG